CACATCATGGTCTGCATAAATGATCACACACCATAATAAAAGTGTAAATCTACTGTTCTGGTGTCATACCGAGTCCTTCATGTAGGTCTTCTCCAGCGCTGCCCAGATCTCCTCATCAGTGTAGTTATTAAAGGGATCTAGGTTGTACCTGTAGACGAACACATTCATTATCACAGTTGGTTAGTGAAAAAAAGTGTGTAAACAGACAGCTGTGGGGAGTTGGTGGTCTGCTACAGTTACCTGACTGTGCCAATGAATAAGACAGGATCCTGGGGGATGATGGACAACTTGCTGCGCAGATCCTGCAGACCAATGGCCATAATGTCCACTCCATCTATCAGGATGCTTCCTGCAGCTGGCTCCACCAGCCTGAACAGAGCCACGCCTAAAGAGGACTTCCCTACAAACGCAAAGCAGAGAGTACCTGATCATACTAACCCTGATTGTTTAGAGAAGCAGAGTTTCCCTCAGCAACGTACAGTCATGGTTTAAAAAAATAACATTGTTATTTTAAAGATGCTGCTGTTACACAGTTGTCAAATTTGTCTTGTATGGAACAAATTATGATCACTGCAGACTCACAGCTACTGGTGTAAAGGCCTTACCAGAGCCTGTCCTTCCCACAATGCCCAGCTTCTCTCCAGCTTGGATGAAGAAATTGAGCCCATTCAGGACGATGGGTGTATTCTCTCTGTACCTCATCTTATAGTCCTGGAAGGTGATGGCTCCGCTCTTTGGCCAGTCCTCTGGGATCGGAGCCTCCTCTATGTGTCTGGGGGCCTCAGGCTTGCAACTCTGTACAGAATAAACATCGACTACTTTGAGGGAGGGAACTCTGAACTGCATGCAAAGGCTTTTACAACTGCACTTCTTGAGTGGAGTTTAATAGGCTCAAGAGGACCAGGAGAGATGGTGGGAGTGTGTGTAAATGGTTATTATTTCTCTGGGGCATTCTGAGTCTGACCGTGACGTATTCCAGTATCCGCTCCACTGAGTTGAACCTGGCCTCCACCTCTGTCGACTGCCGCACGACATATTGAAGCATGCCTGTCAACTGGAAAACACACAGAGATTCTGTAAACACACACATTGCATTTACTTTCAACGTGTCTTGAGCCAAACATTTGTAAATTTGCTGTAGAAATGCACCTGTATGGTGTAGGACATGGCCAGGCCTTTCAAGGATGGACTGATGACGTCGTTACTGCTGAGCACCACGAACAGAGACACAAACAAGGTCATGGATGAAGCCATGCAGTCCAGCCAGAAGGAAAGCCAACGCGTCCCAGAGTGAAAGAGTAAATAGTGGTTGGAGTTGATGTCATTCAGGGACTTGAACCTACAATATGACATTGGACAGGTCAGGGTTTGTGAACACCACCTTACCCCAACTATTAATAAGACAGTGTATACAACACACACCAGGACCAGATACTGTGACTAAGACATCACCTACTGCTGCTGCACCGCATGAATAAAAAGCAGGGAAGAATTGAAACGGCATTGAATTCTCAAAAAACCTGAAAGTTCAGCAAACAGAAAAAATAAACAAAATATGTCATGTTGAGAAACTGAAGTATCTTACAGCTTTATGTGGCTGCCTCTTATGTTGTAGGCATGAATAGTGCTGAGGCCCTGCAAGGTGGAGGTGGTGAGAGAGATGCAGGGAGAGCGACTGATGTTCTCCATCCTCTTCATCTGACGGATGCTCCTCTGGAAGACACTGCAGAGAAACCACTAGTTTAATCTCAACTTTTCAGCCCACTGTGAAGACAGCAATTTCCATGACAATCTAAAACTTGTAATTTTCCTACAGTGCCTGTAGCAAATAATTGTATCATGTTTAGACTAAACTGCTATTAACTCACAAGAGGATGAGGGTGAACAAAGCTCCCATAATGACCACAGCTACAAGCATGAGGGGGAAGACGGCAGAGATGATGACAATTGTAAAGGTGACCATTAGTGCAAACGCCAGGAAAGGGTCCATGTGGAGGGGAAGCACAGTGTCCAGCTCCTCTTGATCTTTCGCGAAGCGGTTGAGAATGCGACCTGCTGGCGTCGTGTCGAAGAAATTCATGGGACTGTCAATAATCTGCGGAGAGGAACAGAAGAAAAAATCGTCATCATCAGCACCTCATTGGTGGCTTCTAACAGGCCTGAAAGACGTCCCCCTTTTTAAACGGCAAACACATTATTAGATGGTTAGATGGCAGACTTTCAATGAACACACATTCAATTAACTTGTTCACACTGTTATCTGCTATTAAAATGGTAAAGTTTGAATGTTTGATGGTACTGTACCTTCTTGAACATGGTGTTGTGGAGTTTGCAGGAAGCGTTCATGGTCATGTGAGTGTAGATAAAGCATTTGATGATGGCAAGTATCACCATGACGACCACCATCATGCCATAAATCAGTTGGTAGAAGTGCAGGTCTGGGTTTTGTGAGATGTCGCCCTGGTGTGAAGTTGTGCTGTTGTGTGACTGGGACAAAACAGCAGATGTATGATGTTAGAGGAGATCAGGGTCATAAAGAACTAATTAGTACTAAAAGTTATTTTAATTCCAAGAAGGACTTTTATGCTGTTGTGAACACAATATGGCACAGAGTTGTGGAAATAACACACGCTGTATTTATGTATAATGGTATAATGTAAATGTGTATAATGATAATGGCCAACTTCACTGCTTTAAGAGGATTCTGTAAAGGCAAGATTACAGTGAGAGGCAAATCTGGTTTTCTGACAGATCCTGATGACTATGTTTATGTGTAGGTCCTTTGAGGGTGGATACTGTGTGAAATGAATCCAATAAAAAGAGTCATATCAGTTTAGTACAAAAGGGAACAGACATGAGATGACAAGATGTTCTCTTCAGGTGGTTGCTATGAATAAAAATCACCTTCTAACACGGTTACGGTCAGATGCCAGCTGTGTTATTTGAGAATTGCGTTCATGGGACAGAGGCAGACGAGTCTGTGCTTAGGCCTGTAAACTGACTCCCTGCCTCCCTCTGCAGGAATCACTGGGTTTACTCTGCATCATCACCACACACTAGTATCAAACGTGTGTTGAGCTGTGTAAATGTAAATAAATATACGTGTGGATCTGTGTGTCTGTCATTACTGTTGTGCAGAACTCTAAAGGCAAACCCAGGCAGACAGTTGGTGTGGTTCAGCAGTAAACATGGCCAGTGAAGTTATGTGTGAAAAAAGAGAATGTGCAGAACACTTCATGTTGTGCAACCTGAGCAACCACTGCAGAAAAAGTGTGTTGCTGTTGGATTGTCAGTTTTGGAAAAGAGTGGGTAACACTGTTCCTCTGAACCAGCATCACTACTCTCTGACCAGGGACAAATTTACCTCACAAAATGCCTGATGGAGGCTTACTGCTTCCAGCTGTGGGAGGTCACAGTCCCTGAAAGCGCGTTCACTTTTCAACCAGGGCTGGTGAGCAGTTTTTGTGCGTGCATGTGAGAGACAAAGAGAGAGAGAGATGGTTCTCACCCCGTCACCCTGCCCCAGCCAAAAGCTGAGCCACCAGTTGCTGAAGGCCGTGGATCCGATCATCAGGACGATGCTGAGGACGGTGAGGGAGGTGATAATGTAGCCTGCAGCGACAAAGTGACACAGAATATCATCAGGCAGGTTGTGCATTGGTGATTCGTGCATTATTACATAGAATCATACATGTGTGTGTGTTATGTCAGACCTCCAGCTGCCTGGAAGTACTGCTGGTAAATTCTCCAGGAGACAGCGCCTTCTGTGGAGGCCTCCTGACTGACCAGCTGATCATCAGCACTGACAGTGGCTGAAGAGGAAGAAAAGGATTTTAGAGAACGATTAAAGTCACTTTCATTTGCATCAGCATGTGTCCTGACTAACTGGACTGTGTTCCTATAGAAAAAGAATAAAAAAAAAAACTAAATATGTAAGTGTACACAAGCTTCACTGAAGATCCAGTCACCCAAACATTTGTTACATTCACAACAGTGGAAATTCAGTGTGTCTCAAATTCACATAACTACAGAAGAATATAATTTTATATTTATATAGACACTAGCCATCTCTAGATTTTGAATCTGCTGCAGTATTTCTGCAGAGAGAAAGAAAGAAAGTGTTTATAGCTGTTCCCAGCAGTCACACTCAAAGGCACAGTAAAAATCCAACCATCTTAAAAAGGGGCGAGACGTGATAATTGTTTGAATATGGGGACAGCAGCATGTGTTTTCTCTGCTGTGCTGGAAGTCATTAATGGTATGGCACATGTTTGCTGTAAACATGAAAAGTGACAGAAATAGTGTGTGCTAACGAAGTGTGAATGAAGTGTGAATTTCATATTGTTGGTTTTGGAAAGTTAAAGAAATTGTTGGACACATTTCCACAATTCCAGTGTTGGAGAGGTGGGGG